ATATATATATATATATATATATATATATACACACACACACACACACACACACACACATATATATTTATATATTTATGTATTTATATGTTAGTGCTGTCAAGCGATTAATCGGGATTAATCACATCCAAAATAAAAGTTTTTGTTTACATAATGTGTGTATACTGTGTATATTTATTATGTATATAAATACAAACACATGCATGTATATATTTAAGAAAAATAGGTTTATATATTAAATATATTTATGCATAATATAAAATCTAAGAATATAAATATATAAATCTATATACATGTAAATATTTTCAATATATATACTGTATGTGTGTATTTATATTATGTATATATATTCTTTTTTAATTCATTTATTTTTATTGTATTTTATTTTTATTTATTTATTTGCAAATTAAAAAAAGTGTTTACATATAAAATTATTAAAATTAATTATTACAATTTTACAATTTATCTTTAAAATATGTGTATACAGTTTTAGTTTGAGTTATTTTAAGTGAAGTAATTAAAAATGAAATTACTGTATAGAAGATGGTTTTAGAGACACTTTTAAAAATATCAACAATATTTAGTGTTTAATATTAATATTAAATAAAGTATTACATTTATGTATATATGTATGTACGTGTGTATATATTTTTTTCTTTCTCATTTCACATTTTTTCTTGTTTTTTTTGCTGTGCTGCTGTAAAGAAGATGATACACAATTTAAAATGTTAATATTATTTTATATTATATGTTTATTATTAAAATAGTAAAGTATTATATATAATATATAATATAATGCATTTTTGATGTAATAGTTTTGGCTAATATAATATAATATAATATAATATAATATAATATAATATAATATAATGCATTAGGTTCAAAATAATAAACGTAATTTTTAAAGTAACAAAGATGATGCCATGTAATAATATAATATAATATTATATTATATTATATTATATTATATTAATCTTTGGTCCTAATTTATAAGATTTTTAAAAGGCCTTTGTTTCTTTATCTAGTTTCTCAGTTCTATTTACCAGCTCATTCTCGCAGTTCTCATTGCACTGGAATGAGCAGCCACTGTATATTTTAGAGGACACATGACTAAATGCTGTGGAATTGTTATTAATTCAATTTCCCTCGTGTTGCCGGTACCGCTGCATTCTGTTTTGACCATATTACTCAAACCGTCACAAACTCATAGTTTGTCAGGTAATTTTCTGCTCGATCTGTGGCTAATAGCACTCACAGCAATCCATTTCCTTCTCCTCTGCCTCCTTTCTAAAGTGCTGCCGCTGTCTGCACGTGTCAGTAAAGGTTAAGTGTCTGAGCCGCAGAGTCAGGCTTTCGGTGTCTAAACTGGGTCGCTGTGCTAATTCTCTCGGCGAACGTGGCCTCCTCTAGTCACGCACATCTCAGGGACAAACCCGGCACAGCAAACTGCTGCTCTTGGACACTGCAAAACAAAACAAAAAACAGTTTTCCACTCTCAAAGCCTTGGGCACAGACCACCGTGGAAGGATTGCATGTCGTCGCAATAGAAAATGTCAAAAGGCTTCCCGTTTTCTTTGACCGAAAGTCGAGCGATGGGCTTTAAGTGTCGATCAAAACAGAGCGCTAGCTTCACGTCTCACTCCTGTCAGCTTCATTTTGGGTTTCCAGTGGCAGCCGTTGCTCCCGGGACTTCCGGTCCAGCGTGAAAATGTAGGGAAAATATCCATTTCAGAGGAGATGAGATAGTTCATGCTCATTGGGGTAGCAGGAGCCTTGTCAAATCCACTCCATTTGGCAACTTGATTTAACCTACTTAGATTCAAGGGAGAGTGTCTTCCCCACATGTTCGGCTGCCGCTGTGGGCTAACTTATTCATGAGCGCTTGTAAACAGGCTTCTATGCAAAACAGTTGTGTTTGGAGGGCCATGATGATGCTGTGCTGGGTTTAACAATCAGAAAATACTGTGGGCACCAGAGGTCTCAGGTCATATTTACAGTCGGGGATTGAAAAGCCTGTATTTCCTATTCTTATTCCTGTTTTTGTTTGTACCTGAGATATGTGTGTCAGAGATCATATGTGATTATTGGGGACTTTCAGCAGCATTGGCCAGATTTTTTTTTTCAAAGGCTTTACAATACAAAATAGTATTTCGTATTTCACATATGTAGCCTATTTGAAATGCATGTATTTGAAATACTGCCCATCCCTGAATATGTTAGAAAAACACCATTAATTTTAAATAGAAAACTTTTTGTAACATTTTAAATGTCTTCCACTTTTTTGGCTAATTTAATGGGTCCTTGCTAAATATATGAATTAGTGCTGTCAAACAATTAATCGCATACAAAATGGAGAAGTTTTTGTTTGCATAATATATGTGTGTTCTGTGTATATTTATTATGTATATATAAACACACAGTATATATTTTGAAAATATTTACATGTCTATATTTATTCATATAAATATATAAACAACCTATTTTTAAATAAATATATACATGCGTGTGTATTTATATCTACATAATAAATATACACAGCACACATACTGTCACGATGCACACACACGAGGAACGAGGAGACGCTGGAGAATACTTTACCAAGACTTTATTTTCAGGAACCAAGGGAGACGAACTCAGGAAGACGTTTAACAGCGGACAGAGAACTTGGTACTGGGAACACCATTTATACACACAGGAGGAGGGGATGACGAGACACACCTGGGAGCAATGAAACATCAAGTAATCAGGGGAGGAACAGGAAACTAACCAAATAAGGGCATGGGAAGGCACATGGGGAGCAGGACACACACAAAACATGGAACAGAGTCTGACATAACGCCCCCCTCCGGAAGGGGTGTCCTCACGCCATATAACATCCAATGGGGAGGGGCACTCTGGAGGTCCCTCAGGACAGACACGGGACAGTGGGCCTCCAGAGCGGTACCCGTTCGGGGTGCCATGGTGGAGCAGGGGACTCGGGAGGCCATGGCGGAGCAGGTAGTTTAAGCCCTCCCTGGGCTTAACTGGGGAACGGGGGCCCTCCCTGGGCTTAACGGGGGAACGGGAGCCCTCCCTGGGCTATACGGGGGATCGGGAGCCCTCCCTGGGCTATACGGGGGAATTGGGGTAGCGCTTACGTGGTGCTGGCACTGGAGGGCGCTCTGGAGGAGCAGGCACAGCAAAGCACCTTCGAGAAGCTGGGACTGGAGCGAGCTCTGGGGCTGGAGCCGACACTGGAGCGAGCTCTGGGATATGTTATGTTTATATATTAAATATATACATGTAAATATTTTCTAAATATATGCTGTATGTGTATGTCTGTATATATACATAATAAATATACACAACACACACATATATATCATGTAAACAAAAACATTTATTTTGGATGCGATTAATTGCGATTAATCGTTTGACAGCACTAATATGAATATAAATGAAGTATTGATTTCATTTTTAATTGCTTCACCTAAAATATCTAAAACTAAAACTGAGATAAAAATTGTATAGACATATTTTAAAACAATTAATAAAAATGACAAAAACACATGACAGAATTACTTAAACTGAAATTAGTATCAAAGCAGAAATATAAATGTATTTACTTTATAATCTTTCTTTTTTGCTGTGGTGCTGTAAAGAGGATGACACAATAAAATATTTCAACATTTAAAAATATTAATAATATTAATTTTTTATGATATGTTTAACATTAAAATAGTAAAGTATTATATACAATATATATGATTAAAAAATATTAGCAAAAGCTATAATAGTATGTCAATGATACTAAAATAACACTAATATAGTATATGTGTGTGTGTGTGTGTGTGTGTGTGTGTGTCAATTTCAACTCAACTCTGTTCTTTTGAACTTTCTATTCATCAAAGAATAAGTGATACTTTGTTGTTAACCTAAAACAAGCACTGTAATATACGTATTATGGCACTGATGGTTACCCAGCATCGCTCGCACCGTAAAAGTTTGTGAATCTGTTTAAAGTGGGTATTCATTGTCTGTTGAAGGTGTACATTTCACTGCAAAATTGCGTTTTATGTTTGTACTACGTTTGTTATTGCTATACCATTGTATGATGTTGATTGCCAGTTTTCACTCACTGTGAGACATTAGTGTGACATTACTTAAGTCATTTTGAATAAAACAAGTAGTATTGGACATTACAATATATACATAACATAATACATCTTTGGCACGCATGTCTTGTCTAGCATTAACAATACGCTGAAGACATTGCGAGGGCACAAAGCGAAGCTTGACAAGAATGCCTTACGTTGCCCAAGACGAAATAGCGTTTCTTTATTCCGAAAGGGCTCAGAGTTCAGAGTTGTTTATTGAAGTCTTTTGTTCGTTGTTGAGTTTTGTAAAAAGCTTACAAGTCTGACTTCGTAACATTTCCTGACATTAGATGATTTCAAAGCCAATCAAAAGCTACTGTACATTGTTGAAGAGGCCAGCTTTTCACAATCCAAGCCACCAATTTCCACTTTTCTTGCTCTCACAGATTATAATTATAAACTCCTCCATACAATCTAGTGTGTGCTAGTGATTGTTAGGCATCTCGCTGGCTTTCATGAGGCGTCACATCGGCAGCCCGCTGGCATAAGGGAATTTCAGAACGCTTTAGTCTGTCACTCTTAGATAAT